CTCACTCACTCACTCACTCACTCACTCACTCACTCACTCACTCACTCGCTCACTCGCTCGCTCACCCAGCCGCCCGCCCGCCAAACCGCCCGCCCACCCTCCCACTCACCCGCCCATCCATCCTACCACCCACCCTACTCACCCACCCTCCCACTCACCTGCAACGAGTTGAGTTTACAGTAGCCGTTGATCGGAAAGCGGATGACGTAGCGCGGGTCCTGACTCCAGCCCGTGTTGCGGCCGTCCATCAGCGCCTGCTGGATCTCCGGGAAGATCTCCTCGATCGTGTTGCGCTCGCCGCTGAGCGTGATGCGCTCGCCGAGGTCCGGGGACACGTGCATGGCGATGCACTCGTAGTCGCGCGCGCACGCCGCATCGTCGTCCTCGGCGAGTCCGTGCTGCTGCTGCTCGGCATGAGACTTCCCCTCGTCCGCGCTGCTACTCGTCACCTGAGAGGAGGAGAATAGTGTGAGCGGGCGAAGGGTGAGAGGGAGAGGGTGAGGGTGAAAAGCGGGTGTGAGATGTAGGAGTGATAGAGAGAGGGGGGGTGGAAAGGGAGAGGGAGCGAGAAAGTGACGGGAGAGAAAGCGGAGGGGGGTGCGCTAAATGGAGGAAGAAAGAGATGGGGAGAGAGCGATAAGAGGGAAGGAGAAAAAGTGACGAGGAAAGGGGGGATATGAGAGAGGGGTAGAGAGGGTGAGAGAAAGGGAGAAAGAAACAGATGATGACAAGGAGAGCAGAGACAGTCACGGAAGGAGGGTGGGAGTGGCGAAGGCAATGAACGCACCAACGCACACGCGCACGCACGTAGAAACGTAGGCACGCACCCACGCACGCGCGCGCGCACGCACTCGCGCACTCACGCACGCACACGCGCACATACGCACGCACACGCGCACATACGCACGAGCCGTGAAAGCGCGAAGATTGCAGCATCTACCCGTAAAGGCATTATTTAGTTCGTCCGCTATTTTAAACGTAGTCTAGCTAGTTTAAACGTAGTCTAGCTATAGTTTAAACGTAGTCTAGCTAGTTTAAACGTAGTCTAGCTATAGTTTAAACGTAGTCTAGCTAGTTTAAACGTATATTCAGTTCGTTTGCGTCGATGTCTTACCCCTCGATTGTTCTTGCGGCTGTTTGGTCGGCTGTAGCCCCTGTCGACGCGGTACTTGTCCAGTTCCTTCAACATCGGCTGGATGTCGTAATACTTTGCCTCTATCCACAGCATGTCCATGAACATGAAGTTGTCGGGAAGCAGCAGCTGTCCCGTCCGTAGAAAGCTCAGCACGTACCTAATTTCTCAATAGAAAAACGAATTTTTTTTAATGCTTCTTTGGATTGAGTAATTTACTTGTTAATTTCGGTTACGGGGCCAGCCCGTCGGTATTAGACAAAGTCGGATTAACTCATTCATCGTCGTTTTCTTGTCTTATCGAATTAATTACAAAGCTTGGTATTGATGTGTAGAATAGCGAGCTGCGTATACCGAAGTGAACACGTCACCTATGCTCAACTATATGTCATAGAACCTTGACAAGTAACTGGGTCCAGTGGGTCAAGAACTCTGAATCATATACTAGAATGAATTTTCTCTATTTCAATCATTTTTCTCTCTATACGAGTGCTTGCCAATGGCTTAGAGCAGCGTATAGCAAAGGAACGGTTATAGCAGCATATTAATTATGCAATAATATTAAAATTGCATGGAAATACGAAAGCAAACATAGTTGACAACGACGTTATTATATATATATATATATATAAATAACCCCATATTTTCTTTAGTTAATTTTGCGTTACATGGTTATAAAATGACCATATTGAACCCATCATGACGTGGAAACATGCTTTTCCTTACTCCACATGCAAAAAAATGTTTCACAACAGAAGGCACTACTTCTCCGAAAAATATGACGAAGAAATCCGAATGTTTCGGAGTTGGTTGACTTTTTCCAACACCAGATGGCAGGAGAGTGGGAATTGCTTTGCAGCCGCGAGACTCCCTCGTAGTTCTCACCCAGGTAATTGGCAACCACCCGCCTGCCTTCCTACCCGTTCTTAGATCCCCCGATTTCCGTAGTTTTCTCGACACTCGAATGCTCGTTCGTTTCTAGACTAGACTGTTTCTAGAGGAAACTGACGGCATAATTAAAACCTGCAGATGTGCTGGCGCGATGCGACCGGGGGCGAAACGAATGAGTAATGAAACAGTTAAGCAAGACGAGCTGCGGCCACTTCTGCTCGGCGAGTTTCCTTTGTTGCAAGCCGTTGACAGATAATGCGTCGATAGTCGAGCAACTGTTATTGAAGAACAGAACAAGACGCCAACCAACACCCAAATCTTTTCTCGACATTTTTTTTTCTAGTTACTACTCGCGTAAACGAAAGCGTTAAGGGAGACGCTAGGAAAAGTTAATATTTGTTTATAAAGACGCAAACTATTTCGCGTATGTGAATTGCTTTAATTTGAAGTAGATTGCGTAGATCGGGACAATAGTTGCAATAATTGTTATTGGCGGGTTTGTTCTGGCTATGAAATTCGCACACATGATTGGTAGGCAAGAGCCGCGATACAGCACGCGTTCCCAAACTGGCCTAGCAATGCGATTTGCGAAAACTCAATTATGAAGGAAATTTAAACAACTAAAGCACACGAACAGTTACGGCTTATGGGTCCCACAATCTTTGCGAGTCGAAATAGGTCGCTGACTCGTAACGACCATTGCTATACAGTCACTGCAAAGACTGCGTCGTTACGCCGAACCCTTGAAAGAAATGTCTCGCCACATGTTATTATTAATATTAGAGAGATATGATTAGAAGCACGCGATTAGAATAAGCAAGCCATTGTAACAAACGAGTATTTCTCTGGCATTCTCTCGGGGCAGGCGCGGTCGTTCGGAGCCGTGAGGCAGTCGCAATTGACAGATCTGGGAGCCGACTGTTGTGTACGGTACAACGCCATGTAGCACCACCATTGGTAGCGTACACTGCCGCCGGCCGAAAACATACGCCAAGGTCAAGAGAGGATATTCGAGAAGTATGTATAACGCTATGGACTGATATCGTAGTATAAGATAATGAATTCAAACTTTGATAATAATAACTCTGACGTAGCAACTTCGCACACACGGTCGTGGGTGTGGTGGTAGTGATGGGGCCAGACCTACAGCTGTTTTGTACCGTTACGTTGAGTAAGGTGTAACGAAAAGGATGCAGAACGAACGCAAAGAGTTCGTTTTAGTGTAATCTTTCGTCAACACATGCTTGCTACTGTTAGCGAAACGCGCATAGTGCACATGCTGTTTCCAAACAACCCGAGCAAGCTTTGCCTACCGGGTGAAGCCAATCGGGAATATAACTAACGCAAAATGTTTAGCATTTTAGAGACAAAAAATCATCAGAAAAAGATCGCAACATTTTTGAATTGGCACGCAGCCTTTTCATAAATGGCATTCGCGACTGATCTCTGCCCACTACATCCTCGCCCGGTTCTGAAAGCTCAGTGACATCAATTTGACGATACCCGCACATCTAAACTAAGTTGGTCTCTTTTAGGAATGCACACGGTAACCACTGTAATGCATAATGAAATCGCGAAGCGACGGGAGAACCACGGTCTTTGAGAATCCACTACTGCGCTTCGCAACAGGTTTTCACTCAAGGATGCCTAATGGGACAACGTCGTGTAGCATAGCTGAGAAAGAACGCATATTCCCACTCGAAAGCTGTGGGCGCGACACGAATGTAACACTCGCACATATGCTGTTTAAAGAAGATAGGGCCAGAATCCGCGAAATTTATTGTGTGGCCTCGGGGTCTGTGTCTTGTCGGCGCTAAACCTGACGCAACAGCCTGCAAACCCAACAGGCCTTTCAGCGAAGCAGCAGAAACCTTCGTTGTCAGGGTAACGGGCGTTTTAGCTCGCGGCTAAACTAGTCTAGGCGTATAACGAGGGCCTTAGGTTCTTGGATAAGCACACTGAGAACGCACGCATACACAATGCGTTAGGTTGGGTAATGGGTGGATGAGGTTCGCGACATATCAATGAAGAAATATCTCTACTAGGTTCACTCTATTACATACTCTATTAGCGTATTGTTGTTTTCTCTCGGTTAGAGTGAGCTATATGTGAGCTATTCTGCCTATATGTGCATTGATGCTCTCTGTACATATACATGGCCAGGCTGCAAGAACACAGACACACACACACACAAACACGCACGCACACACACAAACACGCACATACAAGCGCGCGCACACACACGAGCTGGGCCGGTTCGACACTGGCCACACACGCACGCTCGGACTCACGCTCGCACTTAACGCACACACATCCAGAAAGAGAGTGAGAGAGATGGGGTTAGCGAGAGTGAGTGAGAGAAGAATGTACGCACGCACGCACGCACGCACGCACGCAAACACGCATGCACGCACGCATAGCGTAATATCACAGGAGTCCAGGCCAACTATTTATTGGCCAGAGAGCTAATACTGACACAGCTGCGCGATGCAGAGTGAGATCTAATGAGAATACAAATGAAACGGAAACATATACCGCGCGCCTCGCTGCGAGCATGGCAGCAGCAGCAGCAGCAATATCAGCAACAACACACAACAACAGCAGCAGCAACAAACAGCAACAGCAGCAGCAGCAGCAACAAAACACAACTGCAGCAGCAGCAACAGCAGGAACAGCAGCAGCAGCAGCGGCGGCAGCAACAGCAGCAACAACAAACAACAGCAGCAGCAGCGGCGGCAGCAGCAGCAGCAGCGGCGGCAGCAGCAGCAGCAGCAGCAACAACAACAAACAACAGCAGCAACAGCAGCAACAGCAGCAGCAGCAGCAACAGCAGCAGCAGCAGCAACAACAAACAACAGCAGCAGCATCAGCCGCAGCAACAGCAGCAGCAGATAGCGGCGGGCTGTCATCGCCGGCTACGCTTATTGCGTCGTCGGCCCCGGAGCGTCTCAGCGAAGTGAGCGCGGCTCTATTGCTCACTCCCGCCGTGCCAGAGTCACACCTGCTCTCCGCGCGCCGCCCGCATCCAGTATTCGGGAGGAGGAATTGCCGCGGGGCGCGCGCGCTGTGCGGACTTGCTGTACGCGCACGCGGCCGCCGGCAATGCTGCACGCAGCGCTCTCAGACGCTGACAGGCACGACTCAGCAGCGGCTGCCGCGGCGCTCGATGCGCCGCCGCCGGGCATGGCGCCGCCGATGTTGTCGCCAGCGAGATATAGCTAGGAACTATGCGGCTTGCCTCCGGCGTGTAATCGTAATGCGCACACGCGGCGCGCACGCATGCACGCACGCACACGCACACACAGACGCGCACGCACTCACACACAATGGAGCGCACGCACATACGTAAGCAGCACGGTATGTGTTACACATCCACGCGTGTAGTGCTTCGCGAATAAGGTTATATCCACTAATATATATATAATATATATATATAGTTCCTGGGATTTTCCCCGATGCGAATTCATAGCTTTAGTACTCACCGGAACATTTTTCCATCTCTGTCGATGAAGTAATGCTGCTTCAGACTATCGAGGACGATGGGAATGCTGCCGTTGAACAGACGTGCCAGCCTTGACTCTGGATATCTGAAATACCCGTAGCTGTTATATACAGTTGGCGCTTCTTACTTATACGATCAACATTTAATCAATACGAACACTGCAGATCTTTCGAAACGAGACAATACCATTGCACACACGCATACAAACACACCTCACATCCTCACATACACGCGCACGTGTGCGCACACGCACGCGCGCGCACATACGCACACACACACACACACACACACACACACACACACACACACACACACACACACACACACACACACACACACACACACACACACACACACACACACACACACA